CATTTCCTCTAATCAGCCCCGGAATGAACAGCCACAGACCCGTACCTAATATTATTGTTGCCTGCCATAGCATTGCATTTAATTCCCAGGCCCCCTACAATTTTTGGGCTTGCACAAATCTTGGCCCGGCCTTTTAAATTTTTTTAAATTGCCTTGAACAGGCAGGGTTCCTTTTAATACATGTGTGTTATGGCGACAATTTTTATGCATATTTTGTTTTGTTAATCTTATGTTATGCTGTTTACTCTGTTTTGGTGATGTTGCTTGTAAACCACCCTCAGGGAGATAGAGCAGTATATAAATAAAGTATTATTATTATTATTATTATTATTATTATTATTATTATTACTTTATGGCCTGCTTCCAGTGCCATAGGGTTGTGCTGGAGGAACTAGAGAGGTGTTCTTTCAAGTAAAAAATAGCAAGTATGCATGAGGATACTGTGCTGCTAACCCCGGTGAATGTAGAATGCTGACAATATAATCTATAGCACTTGACGATGGTGTCCCATCGAGACACTAACCAGGGTTTCCATTTAACTAACCACTTAGCTTCCAATATCAGATGAAATCTTGTGCCCTTCCTGCAATAAAATGAAATTATCTTCTAAAAACCTCCCATCATCCCCAACCAGCATAGCGAGGGACTGTTTGATCCGACTCTGATGAGTAGAATAAATGCAAGCTTGTTTTGCTGCCACCTGGCAACTCAGGCAGCAATTGATTCTTCAATAGTTTAGGACACAAAACGTCTGCCCATGTGGCCCTCAAGCCAATTTATTTCACCAGTTCTATATTTATTTCAAGTGGTAGAAAATTAAATGAACATCCTGTTTTGACTTGTTTACCAAATGGCAGTCCAACTGTGCCAGAATTCCATAGACTTCCATAATAGGAATTGCTTCTACAAGCAAATTTCGCAAGAGAAGCCAAAGTGCTGCCATTCATCACATAGTTAGGAAGGCCAAGATTTTCAGCATTTGGCATTTTTGGTACTCCCATCTCTTTCATTTTAAATAATTAAACTGGCAGAGAAGTTGCCAATATTGAAACACAAATAAATCGTACTGGTACATAATACTTATTAAAAATGCCTACACATTAGATTTATATAGACCAGTGATCCAACAACTGTAAATAATCTGTTTCATCTCATGATCTCAGAGGAAGAATGCTCACTCAATAATAACAGTTATTAAGAAAGAAATTTGTGGTTGCATATTATTTAACTAGAGTTGTTAATAGGAGCAAGCATATTCACGAGCCACTCATTCCAGACAGCAGTTTACAAGGAAATACAGATTTGAAAGTTTAATTATAATTAAATAATTACGTACACTGTGGGCACACCCTAGAAAGTAGATTCCCATGCCAGAGGTTATGCAGAAATTCAAATTGGTTTTAACTTTGTAGAACTTTTAGAATAGATAAAACAGCATTTAAGGTAATGGGGGCCAACTTGGGTGGCACGGAAAGGTGAGACCATAGGTGGAGCTCATCAAGAAGCACAGGAGAGGATTTCTAAAAACCAGTGCAGTTATGAAAGTGGATTTTTTGGCTGAGATCCTGCATGGGAGATATTGCTATGAAGATATAGCTACAATCCATCTCCCAATCTGCCCTCTATTAAAAACCAGACAGATGGATCAAATGGAGAACTTTTGTGGCTGGTAGGTTCACTTTCAGTACTTGCTGGGGATGGATAGATTGGTGGGCAGGTTTACTAGGCCAGATCTGGTTGTCCCCTGCTTTTGTGGTAGGGGCCTCCCCTTTCTGTTACTATTCATCATTCACAGAAAATACTTCTTTGTTGGGTAAGCTAGAACACTGAGAGCAATATTGGCAAAAGTATGATAGCTGGGACCCTACACATAGCTGGAACCCGTATGCTGGTTGCACAACACGCGCCACTTGGACTGCTCCCAGCAGAAAGTGTGCTGGTGGCCAGGGAAGGTTCTCAAAAGGCCCTAGTGTGAACAGAACAGCAGGAACCATATTTCCCTTCCCCTCTTCTTGTGCTTTCCACCACCCACTTTCTGACAGTGGAGGGCCCGGGGTTCTGGGAGGGCAGGACATGTGAGCCATAGACCCCCTCCTCCTCCCTTTCCGCAGCTGTATCTCTCACTCACTGCCTCGCACATGTGTTCCCTTTATTAATTCTGACCCGTGGTGAGCAACCAGTGTAGGGTCCCAGCTATCATACTTTTGCCACAATATTTTCTTCTCAGAACCCCTGCGGTAGGTCCAGGATCATGGTGTTCTCCTTCACAATAACCAGGATTCACCAGGTTTCCATCATACACTTCTATAGAAACTGGAAAAAAAACTGGCAGTTTCCATTTATGTATCTGTTCCAAAGAATTTAAATGTGAAAGATTTACAGCTTTAGTCATATCCGCTCATATTTTCTGAAAGGCATTCTTATGTGTTAAAATTTATTTCCTGTTAGACTTTGAATCTAAAAAGTTTTTCCCCCCCAGAAGGCTGTTCCTGGCTACAAGAGTAGCATTAAGCATAGCTCCAGCCTTGCTGTGCACTTCATTGAGGCAGCTTCCCCAGGCAGCAGGGCTTGGAGCATGGCAAAGCCCACAGTCACTGCCCTGCCCAAAAAAGGCAGGGGTGGGAACAGTCAGAAATCAGCCAGTAGACCTAATGTCAGGAGTTGTTACTGACTTCACATTTTACTTCTTCTTTATGGAATGAGGACTGTCACGGCATCACCAATAAGACATCTTCTTACTGTTGATTGGCCAAGCTGTTGGAGTTGCAGGTATGCCGTTATATTCTCATTCCTCTTGGATGGGTGGAGGAAGTCACAGGTAGAAGTACGAAGGTGCTGCCATATCTCACTCTTCCATCTTTGGTATGGGAAAGGATAGCAATTTCTCCATTATTTGGAGGCCAAGGGTCACCACTGCAGTGTCTTCCTCTTCCCCCTTTGTCCAGTGTGATGAGGAGCTCACTTCCTGCTTTAGCCACTTGGATCACTCTCAATGAATAAGTGGCTAGAATAAAAAATAGTGATAGTAAACAAGTCTATTTTGAATGCAGCACACAACATCCCAATTGTTTAAAGATCAATACAGTAACTCTAATATATATAGTGCTTTAGATAATAATAATAATAATAATAATAATAATAATAACAATACTTATTTATTTATTTCAAAGTTTTATATACCAACCTTCTCACCTCTTTTGAGGGACTCAGACCGGTTTCCAACCATAAAAACACATACAATCGGTAAAAACATCACTTTTTTTATATACTGCTCTATCTCCCCGAGGGGGACTCAGGGCAGTTTCCAAGTAACATCATCGAAACATACAAAGTAAACAGAATAACATAAAATTCACAAAACAACATAAGCATAAAATTATCACAATAACACATGTATATTAAAAATAATCCTGCCTATTCAGAGCAATTAAAAAGCCGGCCCAAGGCTAGTGCAAACTCAAAATATGAGGGGGCCGGGAATTAAGTACAGTGCTATAACAGGCTAACAGCAATAGCAGGTACGGGTCTGTGGCTGCTTATTTCCAGGGCCTATTAGAGGAATGACCGGGGTAATAGGTAAGAGTGCAAGGCCATATTCAACAATGTTTGGGTTGGACTAGAACTGGTCATTCTCAAAGGCTTGTTGAAACCACCAGGTCTTCAAGCTCTTACGAAAGAAGGGGAGGGATGGGACCTGTCTTATTTCCCTTGGAAGGGTGTTCCAGAGGCGGGCGGCCACCACCGAGAAGGCCCTCTCTCTCGTCCCCACCAACCGTAATTGTGACGGTGGTTGGAGTGAAAGGAGGGCCTCCCTGGAAGATCTTAGAGTTCGTGCTGGTTCATAGAAGGAGATGCGATCGCAGAGATAGGTGGGGCCTGAACCGTTTAGGGCTTTATAGGTCATGACCTGCACCTTGAATAAAGGACTTTATCCCATGGTTCAGAAACAGAGCCCCACAGGAGTCCCACTGAGGCCATCACATAACGTAAGTACACTTCCAGTGTGGGACTCTTTTCTGAAATACATGGAAACAGAGCACTCAAGCCATTTTAGAAGTCAGGTTTTACCCAACTCCAAATGGGAAAAAGCAGCAAAAAGTGAGGGAAAGACAGACTTCAGCACAGAAATGACATGGGATGGCTGGCCATCCCAGAAGATAGGGAAAGATGAAAAGGAACAGGGTAAGACAGTTCCCTCTGTCCCATCCCATCCCGTCCCGTCCCCCCCTCCGCCCTCTGGTAGGGATTGATTTCTGCCATGAGGAGTTTACAGTTTTGATTCTAATAGAAGAGAGAGAAATGGAAGATAATTACCTTGGTAATATTGTTTCCAATTCAACTAGCTGAAATGATCTTTGGGAGTGGGGAGGTATCAAAACCTTTTTTTAAAAAAATAGATGCTGATGTGCTTTTGTGCATGTGTACATTAATATACATAACATTACACTGACCTGGTGTCTATAAGAAGTAATTGTTCTAAAATGTATGTATGTATGTATGTATGTATGTATGAATGAATGAATGAATGAATGAATGAATGAATGAATGTGCAATAACATGAATATGCCAAGTGTCTTTTCAGGCAGCCAGTTTCTGACCACTGTTGCTGGCCTTCATCTGGGCTGGTTGGAAAGAAGGGGTTCCTTCTTCATCAAGACTAGAATGTTCATATGCTTGTAAGAAAGGCATGATGACTAATACTAAACGTCTCAACCAAATACATACTATAACCACAATAATCTTTTCTATTCCTCTATTCATGTTTTCATTGTTCATTTACCAGCCCATCCCTGTTCCGATTTATCAAGGTGTGTTTCCACTACGTTGTTAGGGAAGAAAGGGAAAGGACTTGACACAACTCTTCCTTTCTTCAAACATGCAACTACTGCTGTAACTATGTCTTTTTTTATAACTATCACAAATCAGACCTGGCATGTTACCAGAAGGTGTGTCTTGGTTAGCAAATAAGACAGAGAAGCATGCTACTGTGGAGTAATAGTTTTCTGGAGGCATGTAGGTGTGTCCCTGGCTGTATAAATAAGCTCCAATTTTCAGAGACGGAAATCACCCTGAGTTTTGTATTTGGATACACTCAAAAGCTAGTAAGAGGTATGTGCTACAACTATCTTGCGCTTTGTATCTTCAGTAGAGAGGTATTGTTTCAGAACTTTCCTTCCTGCTGAAGGTCAATCTACACATTACTTGAAGTGTGTGGTTTCTTCTGCTAACCTTTTAAACTGAAAATCAGATGTACTAATGGTATTTTTTTTTTGGGGGGGGGGGGGGTGCTTTGGCATTCCTTTTCATCTTTTTTTCCATTACACTCACCTTGATCAAGTTGTTTTCTTCACAGAGTTGAAGGAGCATAATGTCTTTTCCCCAGAAATTGGGAAAACAGCTAGGCCAGGATGATTTATATACCGACCTTCTCACCTCAAAAGAGATGAGAAGGTCGGTATATAAAACTCTGAAATAAATAAATAAATAAATAAATAAATAAATAAATAAATAATTTTGTATGGAAGCAAAACAAAGGGTGTCTATTAATGCAATTTGACGCCACTTGTTTTATTTTTCTGGTTATTTAATATGTAATGTTTATTTTACTTAAGTGATATTTGTCTTGACTGTTCCAATGTAGCACAAATCCTATGTAAAATCATACTACGTATTTTTGACATTAATATTGAAATCTGAAATATATACAGAAAGTCATTGATGCTATGGCTCAATGCTATGGAAACATAGGAGTCATAGATCATACACTTGGAATTAAGCGTATGATCACTGGAATGGCCTGGACTATGGTCATGGATAATGTGGTTTATAGTAATAATTGTAATGTTTTAAATGCTTTAATGTTTTCTAATCTGTTTTTTAATTTTAATTGAATTTTGTTTAATTGTATATTGGGTATATATTGTTTTTAAGGCATTGAATTATTGGCTATGCTGTAAGCTGCCTTGAATTCCCTTCGGGATCGAGAAAGGCGGGATAAAAATATAGTAAATAAATAAGGTCTTTAGCCTCATCTGGCAAAGAGTGCTGCTGCTTTATCAAGCTACAAGCCCCGGGATTCCATAGCATTGAGCCATGGCAGTTACAGTGGTGTTAAACTGCATTAACTCTACAGTGTATATGCACCTAAAATTAAGCAACCACTGCTACTGGTTTTCAGCTCTTGACTGCAATCTCTTAGGCTGCTTGTCGGGGAAAGAAAAATTGAGTTGTATGTAATGCAAAATTTGGCTCTAAGTAATAAGGCTTCGGAGCCCCCGGTGGCGAAGTGGGTTAAAGTGCTGAGCTGCTGAGCTTGTTGACCAAAAGATCGCAGGTTCGAATCCAGGGAGCAGCGTGAGTTTCCGCTACTAGCCCCAGCTTCTGCCAACCTAGCAGTTCAAAAACATGTTAATGTGAGTAGATCAATAGTACTGCTCCGGCGAAGGTAACGGCGCTCCATGCAGTCATGCTGGCCACATGACCTTGGAGGTGTCTACGGACAACGCTGGCTCTTTGGCTTAGAAATGGAGATGAGCACCACACCCCAGAGTCGGATACGACTGGACTTCATGTCAGGGGAAAACCTTTACCTTTACCTAATAAGGCTTTTAATACTTGTACCTTGGAAGAAGACCTGTGTGGAGCAACCAGAAGGGCATAAAAAGAGTATTCTGGGATATGGAACCCCATATATTTACTCAGAGGTTATCCTGCTGGGGCTTTAACCCAAATACATATACTTGAAACTGCAGGTTTATCCACTTTAACTATGAGCAGATCATCCAATTCTTCAATCAGGGATAATTCCCTTGAAATCTGTAGACCGTGGATTGCAGCATCAAGTTTCCAGTCTAGTTCAATTGGTTTTGAGAATCGTTTTACACATGAGTGAATGTTGCCTTTTACTAGAAACCATGCTTTGACTAACTTGCTTGGACAGCATGTGCTGAAGAAGGGAGGAGGCATGCCAGCGTTAGAAATGAAAGTGTGTCAATGTCTGACAGCTTTTCGTAATACTACACTAACAGTAGCTCCAAATCATGTCATAATTACCAGGTCTGACCTTCTTACTTGTAACCAATAATGCTGATCTACTCCTTGAATCTTTGTTGGTTTACCAAACAAGTTCCGGTTTGTGAAACAAATTCCAGGCAGTGAGCAAATTTAATCTTTCTCTTATATAAGAAAAGAAAGGGACATGTTATCGTTGCATTTACATACTTGTAGTGGACCATAATGACGGATCTATATACCTGTAGTTCAATTGCACGTAGTTGAATCACATGCAGAGAAGAGCAGCTTTTTGACGTTATTTACAGGAGAAAGTAAAGCATATAACTGTCTGTAATTTTACACCAGAGACTTGATGAATAGAGAGGAATTTAATGTATGATTTGATTATTTATGCAGGAGATATAGTTTAATAGGCAGAACCCCATTTGGGGTTGGGACCCACAGATTAAAAAGCAATGATCGAAAGCATCTAACTTCGTCAGTCCAGATCACAGAATGGAGTGAGTTACAAGTTAGAGTAGTGCAGGAGCAAGGGCTGTTTCTATGCTATGGCATCATACTTGCTGTATAGGTTGATTTGTATTTCTTCTAACCCTACCTGTGAGATGCTTGAGTTTTGGAGTTGTA